AGACCGTACACGGGGCTCTCCGAGGCCCCGACGCCGCGCCGCTCCGCGCGAACCGCCGCCCGGCCGCCCACGCGCCGCCGAGCCTAGCCCGAGCACAGCTGCGCGCGCGGGGCAGCGCCTGCGCACCGCGAGCGGCCCCACCTCGTACGCCTCGCCCAGCGGCCGCCCCACGCCGCCGCGGCGCGGCCCAGCGCCGCGGCCGCCGGCCCCAACGAAGCGTAGCGCCAGACGCTCCGCGCGTCGCAGCCGCCGCCGCCGCCGGAGAGGTGCCCGCCGCCGCAGAGCTCGCTGCAGTCGTCAGAGGACACCGCGGCGCTGGTCAGCAGGGCGAGCGACGAGGCCGCCCGGGCCTCTCGCGGCGGTAGCGGCAGCCCAGGCGCCGGGCCGAACGCTGGCCCGCGTCGAGCCGCTCGGATCGACCATCGGCTGCCGGAGAGGGCCCCCTCGGTTCAAGAATGCACCTCGATGCCTTCAAGCAACCTGATCGCCATCCGGAGAGCATGAAGCGCGCCCGCGGCGCCGGCGCCGGCGCCGACGACGGCGCGGCCGCCGCGCCGCGGCGGCAGCGCCGCAAGCAGGCGCACGCCTCGCCGGCGCCGGCGCCCGTGCCGGCGCTCGCGCCAGCGCCGGCGCTGGCGGCGCCGGAGCCGGTGCCGCAGACCGACTGGCGCGGCGACCTCGCCACTGTCATCCTCTCGGCTGCGGCCGAGAGGATGGCGGAGGGCGCCGCCGAGGCGCTGGCGCCGCCGCGCGCGGCGGCGCCCCGCGGCCTCCAGCGGGTCGTCGCCGCTGTGCGCGGCGGCCTGGGCGCCGTCGCGCGGCTTGCCGGCGCGCGCGCGAGCCGGCGCGGCACGGAGGCCGCCGCGCGGTTGAGGAGCCGCCTAGAGGGCGCGTAGGCGCGCGACCATAATCTCCGCCCGTGTCGCCCGGCTCGGTTCTAGCCCGGAGGCTCAGCCCGGTCTTCGCGCCGGGCTCCGTGGCCTGACCCGCGTCCGCGAGGACGATGGACCCGACGGCGTCGCCTCCACGCGTCGATCAGGCCGGCCCGTCGTCCGACCCACCCTCCGAGCCGCCGCGCGTCGCGTCCGGGAACATGACGCCGATCGTCGTCGGGCGCTCGCGCGCGGCCCACTCGCTGAGTGTCGCCACGAGGACGTGCGGCAGCAGCGCGGCGAGGTCCTCGTCCAAGCCGGAGAGCCCGCCGCCTCCGAGCCACCGGGTGAGCTCCGCGTGCGTCGGCGGGGCCGCGTCGTGGGCGTCCTCGCCGTAGATCGCGAAAGCCTCGAGGACC